TTCAAATTTTAACCTTATCGAAACAATTTATTTCCAATGATTTGAAATTTGTTCAATCTTGTTTCGTTATAGGAAAATAATCGATGTGTACATTGTGCATTTAAAATCCTACAAATTATGGCGAATCCTGTTTTACGAAGTTTTATCAAAGATATACCTTCATGCTTAAAAATTCGTGTCGAACAAGTTCGACATGGACATCATCTTCGAGGAAAACCACCAACTATCGCTCTTACTTTGCAGCAACGGCTCCAATGTAAGTGGAACATTTTTATGGATATCTAGGAAACTAAAGCTGAGCATCACAGTGGTTATATGTATAAGTGAATTTGCTCAGAATTATGCGCCACATGACAACATATTTGAAAAACATTCGAGCCAGTGAGGTGAACCTCTTTTGATATGATTACCTTTGATACCTTCTTTCTTTTTTATAGTGCTCAAAGGACCAAGTCCAACTAAAGTAAACATAGGTTTTTTTGCTTCAAAACCCTCATTTCAAAAAAAACAGGCTTGGATGGCTGAACGAAAAATCAAACGAGCTAACATGCACTTTGAGAAAGAAATAAGGAGTGGAAAGTGTAAGTGCTAAATTTCTGATTGAGACAGTCACATGTGTACATGTGGTATTCATTATATCATGGTACCCTATATGTGTTTTACAGTGCCACTAAATTTAGAAGAAGCAAGAAATATTTGGTTACAAACAACTAGTCCATATGATATTCAAAAAATCGCAGATCATTATAACATTTTCCAAGATTTATTTGGAAATGCTTTTTTCTTTCCTGTTGTACAGCTTGACATCAATTACAACATAGACGATAATGATACTTTAGTCAAAGTTTATACAGGAAATGTAATAAAACCTGCAGAGGCACATAAGTTACCAAATGTTGAATACAAAGCCCAAAACGATACTTTATGGACATTGGTGATGTGTACACCAGATGGTAATTTGGAGAACTCAAACAACGAATATTGTCATTGGTTTTTGTAAGTTGACAAGGTGTTTGTTACCTAAGCAGTTTGTTCCATAGAATTAACTTACACTCATTCTTCTTCCTATTTAGAGGAAATATTCCAGGGAACAGAGTAGAAGAGGGTGAGCAAATAATGGATTATTTGAGACCAATCCCAGTTAGGGGAGTAGGATATTATCGTTACATATTTATCCTGTACAAACAAAGTCAACGCCTAGATTATGCAGAATACAACAGACTTCAACCTTGGTAAGTAAGAAAGTGTTAAAAGTAGATCGTATAGTGTGCGATAATATCATATCGTTACGTTTCATTTAGATCGCGTATTTACGTTTAAGCTTACAGTTAAAAGAACGTAATTGGAATACATTGGAGTTTTATCGAAAATATCAAGATTATCTTACTCCAGCTGGTCTAGCATTTTTTCAAAGTGATTGGGATCCCACAGTGAGAGAGTTTTATCATTCTGTACTAGGTTCGTGTAATCGGATTCAGTATTTCTAACGCACTAATGTATTATATCTCTATATATATGTACTTACAAATTTTTACTTATAGATGCAAAAGAGCCGATATTTCAGTATGACTTTCCGAAACCATACATTAAACCGCAAACGTGGTTTCCATTGAGACAACCATTTAATCTTTATTTAGACAGGTACAGGGATCCCAAAGAAATAATGAAAGAATTTTTGTTAAGAAAACTAAAAACCGTTGATCCTTTCAAAGAGCCAAAGGCACCTCACAAGTATCCAAACGCGTGCTATATTGATAAAAGAATACCCTCTTGGTTGAGAGTACAAATAAAAAAGGAACGCTTGGGATGGGACCGAGTTAATCATCTGAAATAAAATATTTTATAAAGAAGAGATTTGATAGCTAAAATCAGTTGTAAGATAAAGAGTTTGTGTATAAATAAATAAAGGAAGAATATCATATACAAAAGAAATGTAAACAAATGTAAAGAGAACATCGAAACTCCATGCGTTCTATTCGAACATACACATAGACAGATGTTGTAACTTTTATCTCGAAATGGAATGAGAAGAATGGCATCACTCCAGTCTTAAATAAGCTTCCACAGCTTGTTTACTCCTTAATTTAATCTCTGCCCGCGTTGGCACCGATGAATCAATTGCTTGATGCTCGACGATGAGACCTAAGAAACATTATGAACATATTATATTATGGAATCGAATGGGATAGTTCAAGTATTTATTGTATCCTGTAGATTGCTATTATTATCACCCGTTGGTTCCACTTCCGCATCTTTGAACTTGATCTTTGAACGATAATTGGAGACGTAAGTTTGATACAAGTCTTTCGCTCTCTCTTCTCTGTCTTTGTCCAGTTCGAAATTACTCATTCCGAATAGTGCCCCTACCTTTCTACTAACAGTGGACAATAATGCTAAACCTAGAAAAAGATACGGGACGATAAGAAGAATATGTAGGCGTCCAGAAAAATTTACTCGCAACTTTTATCGGTCTTTTTTGCATCACCTTCTGTCTCCATTTTTTCCATCATTGGTATGTCGAATCGTTTATCAAATTCTTCCGTTGGCTTTCTCGCTACTATTTTATTACCTCTTTTAACACAAATCAACATCGCTACCATATTCTGCAAAGCCGCTCTTATGTCCATCAGTAATTCACCGCGTTCCTTTTTTGAATTTTTTCGTTCAAGTTCACGCTTCTTTTGCATCGCGATCTGTTCCAGCAAGATATTTTTGTCCGCGTTATACCTACAAGAAAATTCATCTGCATACACCAGTAGCAGTGCGCATACTAAGAAAACTCTCGCATGACAAAACATCACCTACTCCTCAATAGTGGCTACAAGGGCGTGCTCGAAATTAGACAGAGTGGACAATGCCTCATTTTTCTTACTTAACAACAAATCACGCTCCTTCACGTTCCGATCAAATTGTTCCAACAGTCGTGTTCGTTGTTTCATTTGTTCTTCCAACCTGATGATGGTTTGCGAAATAAACGTTTCGAAAAAAAAGTACAGTTTATAATGAGAAACTACGTTAGTATCGCGCTAACATTTTTTCAATTTCTCATTAAACTTTGTTAACCTTTGTTAACCATGTACCTACCTTGAAAGCAATTCTCGATAAGAATGGACCAACAATGAATCCTTGATTTTATCGAATATTCCTTCCAAATAGCTTATTTGCTTTTCTAACGCATTATTCGATGTGGTTCCAGAGCGTATAATTTCTGTAGTTAATACCCCCTCGCTCTGTTACACACGCAACGACGTTTAAAGTTTAAACTTCAAAGTAGTTCATACGTAGCCACGTACTTACTCGTATTACATTAGTTGAAATAACTTTCTTTTATTTCGTTTTGTTTACTTTTATCAACAGCAGCAACACGACTTTACTCTTTACCAAATTACTCTTATCGCAACTTATTTACTTTATACACTTACTTCGGTTCGTATGAGGGATTGCGCGTACGACCACAAGTCCTCTACTTGTTCACGTACGATCTCCAGCATACGTTCTTTTTCCTTCATGTTATTCCAAACGTTTCGTGCTACACGTTTGTACTTTGATTCGATGTCATTCGTTTCTTCGGTTGCAAGTTGACCCATTATCGTTGTTCGAAGTATCACTTTACATTGACTTATACGATCTTGTTTCAAGCTATCCAATAAAATTTCGTGATATACCGCATCCTACAAATACGAATTTTCAATTAGCTAATGGAAGGATAATCGCATGGTGTTAACTAAGTAAGTACCTTTTTTAAGATTTCAAGTATGTAAGCATACGTTAAATTTATCGCCTTTGCTGCATTTTGTCTTGCAACAGATTTTTGATATCGCGACACCAATCTTTGTTGCGCTCGAGTCCATGGCACGTCTTTCTCTTCCTTGTAAATATTGCACAGCTCTGCGTGTTCTACCTATATCATGTACGTATATATGTATGTCGTGTTATATACATATTTCCATGACTATAGTATAGTTTATTCTTTCTTAGGTACATACAATATGTATTTAGGTCGTTGGACGAAACATACTTGTAGTTCGAAACATCGTTTCATCTTTTGTTTCTTCTCGTAACGAAGCTTATCTAATTGACAGCGTTTCCTATGGTTTTCCTCGCAAATAGATTCACAAATGTGCTATGCGGGAGCAACGAAAAAGCCTATCGTGAAATGTTTGAGCCGTTTGGACCGTATAAATAATAATAATCGAATAATAAAATAAGAGGAAAAAGGATTTACTTCTATTTCTCGGCCTTGGCATTTTAATCGTAAATTTTTACGACTTCGTAATAAACCACGTACATGACCTTTTGGAATTCCTTTCGTTATCTCGTTAACAATTTGACGATAATTGTTTACATCTCGTTTGTACGTACTTAATTGCCATGATATCTTTTTCTTTAATTTTGTAGCATCTTGCAGTCTTATCTTCTTTTCGCGTGCTAGATTTTTAATTAACGAGAGTTTTAATTAACGGTCAACAGTCTTATAACGTAAAAACATAAACGGTTAATTGTGAAAAGTGGGCGAGTTGCATATATGTTGCGCCGAAGAAGGTGGAAAGAGAAAAGCAAAACATCGATGATGGAATTGGAAAATATTAAATTTGATTTGACGTTCAGCCGAAGATATCCGCGCTCATCTCGTGTAGTATACCTTCTTATAAGAAATTTTTATTTCCTTGTAAAATCAACTATGACGCAAGTGACTACCACGAGATTCCCTTACCATGTAATTTAAGGATCCCGCGATATTGTTCTAATTTATCTTTAGTCGACCATCTTACATCTTTGATTTTACGGAATGTCAGTGGAATTCGTTTCTGAAATAACATTTCAGTCAGTAGACCGTTGGTAGAATGATCGCCATTGATTCGTTGGTATCACAAACATTATCGTTGCGGTTCGCTACGATTCGCGACAGTTTAATGGTTGTGTTCAAAAACCAAGGAATGGCTGACAAAAGTTTAATAGTTAGAGTAACTGCAAAAGATGAAAAATAAGAGCCCGAAATCTTAGAGAATAACGTAATTTTATTTTACATACAAAGACGTATCACATACAAGGGGAAAATGTGAGATTCTATAATCTTCTAAGGGTTAGAATTAGGCATCGTGTAATCTATATCGCATTCATTTATTGCACACGTATTATCACATACATTCTCTCTCTTTCTCTCTCTCTTCTTTTCCCTCCATTCTTCTACTCTTCTCTCTTTTCCTTCTTTATCATCTTTGTCGTTTCATTCTATTTCCTATTCTAAATTCTTTCTTTGTCATTCTTGTTTTTAAATATCGTTGTTCCTCTTGTTTCCTTAGTTTCCCGGAATATATTATAATAATATTTTGTTAGTAAAAAAATGTCTGATATTATTACGGATCTGCATTTAAGCATTCACGTACAACGTAGCTAACCACGTTGAGCTGGAGTCTAACGGTAAGTTTATGTATCGTTGTCGAAATTGTTATGCACGAAGTATTATACATACATATCTCGAACAGCGATATAATGTCAACGCTCACGATATGAGATTGCAAGAAAACGACTGGTTAGGCAATTAATCGTTTTGAATGCATACAAATTCGATCGTGTAGCTTCGTTGATATGTATCATTTATTCTACGATCAAACACGGTCTATTTTGTGCTCTAGATCGTATATGTTTTCAATGGAATCGTTTAGATTGCCGCATAATTTATTAATCGAGCGGTACGCGATTGGCAATTGGGCGATATGGTGACATGCAATTGCGTGTTTGTTCGCGCCTTACAACACATTGGTACGACACTGGTTATCATTGATGAGATTTTTAAAGAATTCATTTTCTCTTTAAACATCTTTATATGACCTACAAGGTGGTGGGGGAGCACTCCATATTCCATTTTCTCGACAAGTTGGCTTCCTTACAGGTTCCAATGGTGTAACGTATCCCGGTGAACAAGTTACCTGTTAAGCGATCAACATGATGAATAAAAAAAGAAAGATGAAAAATTCGATTTAATTTATATACATATGTGTATACAGATAGATCTATAGATAAGTAGGAGAAAATTAGAAAACGAAATTAAAAAAAGGTAGATTAACTTGTTACCTGTATATTATCACCTGGTTTGTACCAAAATTTAAGAGGTGCGATTCGTCCGTGGGGCGGATCGCCTGGGTAAGGACATCTCACTTTACCTAATGATATGGAAGTGTTATTAGTAACAGAACGAAATCCGTCCGATTAAATACTATGTCCATGGTATGAAAACTTACAAACTGGTGGCGGATGAGACCATGTTCCGTTCTCTGTACAAATTATAGAGGCCTCGCCTAACAGTTGATGACCAGGCACGCAAGCAAACCTGACAAGTGCACCAACTTTGTACATACGCGTTTGGTGTTTTCTTCCTGAATTATGGCGATTCGTTTGTTCGATAATACGGCCACTCTTTGGTATCGACGGAGTCGGGCAGATGATTTCTGCAAAATTGATCACGTTACGCGTTTCCTGCGTTATCTATGTGCGATATATATACAGTATATATATACTGCACTTTTTTACGCGAGTAAATAATAGAAAAAGAATTTACGAAGCCTACCCTCACAACTAGGAGTACTTCCGCTCCACGAACCGTCACCTTGGCACTCTATGCTCTGCGATCCTAATAATCTATGACCCCACATGCAGGCAAATACCGCTCTACGACCAAACGTATTGTTGTATTCGAGAAGTTGCAACCTTGTATCATCGAATTTATCTATAGGTGGACATACGATTGTTTCGCATCGCGGAATTTCGGCTGACCATTTACCTGGGAAAGTATTTATTAGTGATAAATACTATCGCTGTCGCCACGATCTCACCTCAACTCTTTCTTTCATCTTTAATTCCGTCCACAATATTACGTACACATATATAATCTCTTACCGTTGTATTGACACGTTATACCAGCTGCGCCTTCTAGTTTAAATCCAATTGGACATTCGAACGTTGCTCCGTGACCCATACGCGCACCTTCGATCTTACCGATTAACGGTGGTTTGGGTAGGTTCAAAACGGGACACTGAACATCTGCAAATATGACAATGCATTTATTTCGTATGCGTCCAAACATTTGCTCGTACTGGAAAATAGAAATTTGCAAAAGGGAAAGGGAAAACAAAGAAGAGGGTAATTGAACTTACCGACAACGTGGACACGTATGGAATTGGATAATCCACGAGGTGTAGAGCACGTGTAAACTCCTGAATCTTGCGTTTTCGCATAATATATCGATAATCGATACTTCCAGTCTCTTTCACGAGCAGCGATCGCCCATCCTGAATTGTCGAAAAGATTGTTACAATGACTAGAACTGTACTATGCGATTGTTAGTTGTCGATCCTAATGATCCTTAACGTGCTCGTCCAATCCCTCGTACTCGAAGGAAGAACTAAAACGTTAATCACGATATCGTTTCCCTTATGAATCTTGCCTTCTTTTTCGATCGGCAAAGCCAAACATTTCAACATAAAACGAAACTTTTATCTAGCTTTTTGCTACACGTATGCGACAAGCGTCGATATACCATCGTATAAATATGACCGATGTAATCGTATAAACTATTACAAGAATCGATTGGGAACCCATACATAGACCGATAAGCTTAATATTATGTTAATTTTTCTGAATTAAATTTGGCAAACAATGGTTGACTTCGTTATGCATTGCATATATGTATATATAATTAATCTAGCTGTAAGCATCTCTTAATTAAAAACGTCTCAACATACAACTGAAGAAAATTATCTTACAATTATAGGAGACAATTTATTTATACATACGTATAATTCGTACGCTCTGTATCGCAATGCGCAATTCGCAATAAAACGTCGACGATCGTCAGAAGGCTTACCGGTCAAGTATTGACGAAATGTCGAGGTCCAAGTCCATTCTGGATTACCAAGTTTTCTAGCGAATAGGCATTCCAGGTGAAGAATGCTTCCAGGATAAACGGCGAGAGCACCAGATGGCTCGACTGCTGCTGAACCGGCCGGTAATCCAAACACGATCGTTGGCGGTACATCCTCTGTTTCTCCTCGAACAATCAACGAGAGGAGAAATATTAAATGGAACAGGATTTCGTTTCGGTAAGGAAATTGCAGAAATGGGAAGAGAATTCCGAATAGCTAGGACTCTCAACTTTATAAGGCTGTGTCCTAATTGGACGTCCCATAGCCACAAGTGCGACAATACGATAGTGTTCATAAATATGTATGTTAATTGCATAACGAAATAGAAACGGATAGGACAGTGGTGGAGCTCGAAGAAGATAATCAGTCGGTCGTAGGACAGTGCAATGAAGGGAAAGCCAACGTAGCAGAGGGAAAATTCATACGCCACTTGAGAGGATCGCACAACAGAGCCACAGCAAAGTAGGATCGCTTGCCCTTCGTATGGGTCAGAAGATGATCGAGTCAGGCAACGAAACCTTTCAAAATTTGAACATTTTTTAATGTTAATACACATTTCATTAATACAATAGTGAGATTTTCCTAATTAAAACCAGACCAAACAGGATATTGTTATTAAAAATTGGCAATGCTACATTATCCATATATAATACTTCTACATAAAGTTTACTAGAAAATTTTGCAACGTGGATCCACGTATATCATATGGCCAAGTATATTAACTTTGAGTATTGCATTCAAGTATATTGTTTAGTACTATTTTTATATGTTTATACACATTTTATAATATGAAAATGAAATGTAGAAAGTGGTACAAAAACGCTTCATTGTAAAGTAAGGATATATTTTTGCAAATAGCTTTTCTAGCTACTTTGTACTAGGCTCTTTTTGTACTTCAAAAATCAATAAAGTACGATTTCTATTGGTAAGGTATGTAGTTTAGACCTCGTTGGCGGACCATGCGAAGAAGGATTAAATTTCAATCAACTGGAGTGACGAATACGACATTGTCGCATCGCACGTGTTGTCACTTTGGACGCTGCCATAAAACATGCTATGTTAGTTAGGTGTCGTGCTGATCGGTCCTGTACGATCGTCGCTGTGCAACGTCGAATTAAGATACATAGAATAGTACATACCAGACGTAGATATTTCCAATGATTGTCACACCTACGTATACGAGTCGATATATTTTAGCCAATAGTTTCTATTGCGTTTCTGCGATCAATTACCTTATCTTGTAATTTTTGTAAGAAATTACGAATAAGTAACGAATTATACAGGTAAAAGGGATTACAAAAAATTAGAAATAAGAGAAATATTCATTTACTAACCGGTATAATTTGAAATCGCTGTCGTTGGAGTACAAGAGGGTAGTTTCCCGCTCCAACTTGCATTACGACAATGCAACAGAGGATCACCGACGAGCTTGTATTTGCCAAGTTCTCTGCATCTTACCGTTACCCGTTCCCCGTGTGGTACAGTGATCTTGTCTACCTAGTGACAATAGTGCACATGAGCGTGTTTATTCTAACAACTTATTTGATGAAACTGTAGAAAAGTTATGTCCTCCCTGATTTCGATAATTTTTTAATATGTTGTAAAGTTTAACATTTTGAACACCAATTTCCTGTACATGCATCTATCGTTAAATAAGCTGACGGCCATGATTCCCAAGATGTTTGCAAAAAATTATCTTCTGTTTATATATACAAACGAGGGTGAGACGAGCTTGTGGTAAGGCCCGTGAACAATTGAATATGCGAGACTGTAAAAATGTCTATTATATTTGAATGAAAAATGAATATCATCTAATGAGGCAGCTGGCTACTAGTTCTCCTATTATTTTTATAATTAATTTGTTATTATTTTACATAAGCGTTGTCAGATTGACACAAACCCAAATACCAAACATAAATTCCAATATATTAATGATATTCATTTTTAATTAAGTTATAATAAATATTTCTTATAGTCTAGCATATACAATTGTGCACGGGGTTTTAAACGTGTATGTCCTTACGCACGCACAGTTATGGACAGAATTCACTGTAATGGTATCGATAGTTTCTTGCGAATACCTTGGAAACTATGATCGATCGACAGCTGCATGTACAGAAAAAAGTTTTTCAGAATGTTAATTTCTGCAACATATCCAAAAATCATTAAAATCGGAGAGGATATAGCTTTTCTACAGTTTCACCATTTATTTTCATTATTCTCGGGAAGAACGCGAGTTATAGCTAATCAGATCAAGCTAAACAAAGTAAAGAATAAAATACTATAATTGTCGAAGGAAATATATCGATGTTACTCCCCTCTATTCTCGTAACGAATCAGAAACACATTCAAAAGGCTAATGACACAGGCAACAACTTACAGATATTGTAATATTCTTGTAGGTCACGATTAAAAATGGATGTAATCCTTCAAGTTTACAACCTCTATGAAATCCGTCGGAATCTGCAAAGGGATTATAGTTAACAATGTAACAAAAAATATGGATTAAAATGACTAACAATAGGAGATGACAATAATCATGAAAATAATACATTCTTAATTACTGATATCTTAAGGTTAGGTTTTTTCTTTTGTGATAGCATACTGCCTGCTATTTGTAAGAAGCCGATAAAACAGATTTTTGAAACAATTTTCATCGATCAGAAACACGAAGCACGTGTTCATCGGGGCATCGTGTGTATTTACGAGTAGTATTTGCTGTATGACGCATGCTCAGCGTGGTTTCACTGGACGTTCAATAATAGAGGTAACCGCTTTCGAAAGTACCCAGACAACTTTATCGATCCGACAATTTCGTTTGTAGAAAAGCATTCGGTTGAATAACATTTTTCGTCGGATCTACGTCACGTTAATTTGTCTTTTCGAACAGTCTTCGTGGTCATTACAATGAAATTATTATTCCACCATAACACATGGGATCTACTCGTATTTGAAAACATCCATCTTACCGACAATGCACTACGGTTTTACAGATTTTTGATAGTTTCGCGACGTAAAGATAACGTTAATATGTGATTCTATCTTGCCGACAAGTTCATCTATTTACATTTTGTCAAAGGCAGATAATGCGCGAGGTGATTTCCACACTTTCAATTACTTTCAAGTGGTATTTCCCTCGCAGAATTTATCGCAGCATACACTCACCTATTTGTTTCGCCGTGCAAAAAGTAACCGTTGTTACAAGCCCAAGTAACAAAACATAAAATCCTGCACTCAGTTTCATGCCATGCGCGCTTTCAAAGAATTTCCTTGTTCTTTCTTTCTCGATGGACATACTGTTGGTTTTTGCATATCAAAACGAAATGTTATTCGAGTCACTACACTGGAACTTGATTTCGATGATAATTTCGCATCGACAGTAGCTGGAATTTTCGTAATTCGGAAAATCGTTTGTTTTGTTCTTTGGCATTCTGTTTCACAAGCATAGTAAATCGCACGTATATGGATGGCAAAGATTCAACGTCACTGGAAAATGAAAAAAGAAATAAATCGAGGGAGAAGAAATGGTTTACGTGTGACAGAAATACGAACGCACCTGCGTTTCGAAGATTGACCAACTGACCGAAAAAACACGTATATGGCCCGCGAGGAATGATTAGCGATAGAATCAACGTCACCACTACCTTCATCGCTACGCTCGTAAACGATGCGTACCACCACTCGCGGAATTACGGGGTGAGACGTTAGAAGGCAGCTTCGCCAGTGTAGCTTACTTGCGAAAGCGCAGGCGTGTAACTGACACATGTTACATCATACTTCTATATTCAACACATGTGTACACGGAAAGCTTTCCAAAATTTTTGTGTCATCTTTAAACTATTTTACACATTTTGTAATATTCCTCTTCCTTTCGTATTCCACTTTCGTTTTTCGGTTTACGCTTCTCAGCCTCTACATGTGTTTTCAAGAGTTATGCTTCCCAAGTCCACCTCCCAAACGCATTTCGAAGGATTACCGAATCTGGGATTTCCGAATCTGAAGTGCGTTCTGAAAGTTTACGTTCGAATTTTTTTCACACCTAATCGGCGATCAGAAGGGTCGGGTCTAGGATTTTCGATAGCGAAATACGATTGCTTCCGCGGTCGTCAAGATTTTAGGACGTTTTTGTGATCTGTAAAGTGGCGTCACCCGTGGACTATCCGCGAAGCTGGTCGAGGGGTCGCAACAGGGATTTTCGCATCTCAAAGGGCAAATTCAAGGGTCATGTTTAAGATATCGAGACCAAAGTGCATTTTAAATTGTCACAACCTGGATATTCGATACTCAAGTGCATTTCGAAGGGTCACGTTTGGCATTTTCAGTACCAAGTACATTTTGAATGGTCATGTCTTGGATGGTGATTCTTGTAAATATACTTGGGAGACGAAGATCTCAAACGTAAAGCTTAAAAATGTACTCAAGAGCCGAAAATTTCAAGCATGTGCCTTTAATAATACACTTGGGAGTCGAAAATCTCAAACCTAATCGTGGTGTCAGATATAGATGGCTTGGTGTGACAGAGAAAGTATAGATGGGTTAAGATACAACAGGGCCGAAGACGATCCTTAACATTATTTCTTGATCGATAGATAAGTTTGTTTGCTGCTCCTTCGCGCAGGTTGTCCAACATTAAAGACCTATAGTGATTTGTACTGATTATTAAATCGAAAGGATTGAATCTTAACAGGTTTTCGTCAGCTAAATCGAGGTACCAAATATGAGAAAACTTTACGTTGGTCTCGTACTCAGCCATCACTGTGCTAGGTTCGTACTTCGACAAAGAACAAAATGAGTACAAATGCTGTTTATTTACGATGCGATTATAAGTGTCGTCAATGATTAAGACGAATTGCAATCTCACCGACGCGAGCACGTGGTAGTTGTATTGTGCCAGATTTATGGATCTGAGATTTATAGATTTTGCAGAAATTATTGAAATAATCGTCTCCTGTTTAAGGGAACAGATCTTTACTGACCAGCCGGATGTAGAACAATTATAGGAACTTGAACATTGTCTTGTCGGATGTACCGAGTTTAAACAAGTCACGTAATCACTAATCACGTAATCAAACGTAATCTAATGTAATCAAACGGAATCAAACGAAGAGCACTGAAAAATTAAAATTACAATTTCATTTACAATATTTATAATATTGGAAATCAACTGTAAATTTATAAAATGAATTATGTATATTATAATAATAATAAACTATATGTATTATATAATATATTTTTACAAACATTTTAATTTCTATAAAAGCCCAGAACATATTAAAAAATATAAAAAATATAAAAAGTTTAAATGTAAGATCGTTAACTTATTTCCCGATGCGACTGTGTATGTAGTTTTAATTAAAACAATAGAGCTTACTTTAACATCATTTTAATACAGTTACAAGAACTATTGAATTTCATCGTATGAAATTTTTCATATCTTCGATCATTTTAAAGCTGCTTCTTCGTTTCTTCTCTTTCAAATAAACCATTAATCTTATAATTAGAATTATTATATATTTTTAGACAAACATTTTGTTTTTCCTATTAACTTGATAGCAAAATAGCAACTTACTTTAATCACTACTCTCGCATACTGTCAATAACAACACAATCCTACACGATATTACATCATCTATTGTCATGGTCATTTGAGCAATTTTTCCATACACAACATTGTCATTATTCTCACGTTCAACACGATTATAATGTGCAACCACTCGCGAGAAAATCTATCGGTTGTTTGATCATTTCTCGTATGATAACAATAGGTACGATAGCAAATGAACAAATAAAGATATCAGCTAACCACATAGAAACGCTGAAGCCGCAGCAACCGAGGAGGATCAGTCATAAATTTGTCGAATACGTTGAATCTCTAAGATCATGAGGAAATTTTTATTTAGCATGCATGTACCGCCATGCCTTCATTATCTTTTAATAAGAAGTACACGATTCGTTCACCAGAGCGCTTCGAGGACTTAGATTCGTTAGGCAGACTGACGTTGTACTTTCGGCTGTCAATCATTGTTGTGCTTCGATCTCTGCTATCTTTCTCTTCAAACTGTACCATTTACCTAAACCACGGTAAGTAACACGTATTTTCACAGTAATTTTCACTTCAGTAACCTCTCTGACGATACAAAGATATAACGAAATAACGAATAAGCGATCAAAACCAGAGAACGATTGAACGACTCGAATTACGAACGCAACAAAGCAGACGATCCACGATAATAAACATTACCAACGATATGCATATATAAAATAGAATTACATAGTGAATTTCGGCACCAGGTTGATTCGTTAGTAAAGTTTTAAGTTACAATATGAAGGTCTCTCTCTTTCTCTCTCTCTCTCTTTCCCTTGTCGATGTTTTAACGAACAAATCTATCCTGTACACTAGTGGTTACTTTTTAATATTCTTCTCAGCGCTAGTTCTTTGACACTGAACAGACATTTGTTCGATGAAAAGGGATACAGTATTTTGTAGTATATTCACGATGCAACTTCGAAATCCGTTTAAGCTTATTGGATTAGCTCGGTCGGAATCACAGTTCGAACGGGAGGACTCGTTTAAAAATCCAATATTCTCCCAGATCGATTTTCATTAAGAGAGCGAGGCTCTTAATGCCAGATTCGTTGGATTTTTTCCAGTCGATAAGAAGAAAATACTGTTGTACCATTTGTACCTGATCTGATATTTCAGTCCAGCCCGTTACAAGCTCTCTTCCCTTCTCCTCCCTCCCCTTTTGTTTGGCATAGAACAGGCTTGTTGACACGTTCGGAAATCGTAAAGAATTTGATGGGTTATCTAACTTTTCAATTTCCGCTTTTACGGCGGCTACAAATGAGTCGACTAAATTAATCGAGACTCGTTCGTAACCGTCCTTAGAGAACAAGCTTGCTATGCAAATTGAGAGATCATACTTTATCAAGTAAAAAGATAACGAAAATGCTATTTGTAGAATTACCTGCTTAGTGTTATCTATAAAATATCTATAAATTGTGTATTTATTTATTATTTATTCTAAGCTTATATCTTTTCTGTGGTTACCCCAACCTAACCCCAACCTAACCCCAATGTGATTAAATTATATAATTATATTTTAAAAACTACATAATATTAAAAAGAAAAGAAAATACATATAATAATATACTCATCAGAATTAACTTTATTTTATGTGACATCTGAATCATTGCCGGATTTTTTGTATTGCGTCAAAGGATATAAACTTACATGGAGAGCTTGTATGGCCGGTTTTTACGCTTGCTATCACAAATTAACGTTTCCTGTCGAGTGATAAAGCTGGGTATTAGCTAAAAATATTTCAAAGAAAATATTTTTTATATTTTTGCGAGTTCTAATCGACTAGGAATTTATTTTAAAAACTAATTTTGTACTAATTATTTTTTATGAGTGATCCTTCAATTCTTTTTGTTTTTAAAAAACTACAGTGTTTAAGCAATTTTATATCAGTTCTGAAGTTTACTGGAGCAATTTTTTTACTTTTCTTTCATTTTTACAAATACCGATAACTGACGAAGCTAATTCAAATAAAGTGTGTATTTGTTTTGTTATGTAGAATTTCGTTTCATTTTTCTGTAATAAGTAATTGATATTCCCAATTTTGCAATTATAATTATCTATAGTGTAATTCTTTTACAATATACGTATTATTCTCTATGATTTTTCTATAAGTATATTTATTATATTAAGCTCTTAAAATGGCATAAAGTAATTGAATGTTATACCACTTATTTCATTTTAGACAATTCTACATTTTATGCTTGATTATATATTAATATATTAGTTTAAAAATTATTATTAATTATTATCTAGTAAAGGGTCAATTATCCGAGTCAATTGGGACCGAGGTGGTTCGGAAGATCGAATTATTCGAATAATGTCGAACAAGTTTGAATAATGAAACGTGCACCAAGTAATTAGCTAGTTGACAACTATAGGAATGAAGTTTAAAATGTATCGAATACAAGAGTATTACTACTGTAACTTGAAATGTAATACACATTACGCAAAATATTAATTGATTTTTGAAGAAATACTTTGAAGAAAAACATTTATTACATCTGTAGTATGTAGATTGAGGTTAGGTTTACGTATGTAGATATATATCTTCTTTTAGATGAATGAAAAAGAAACAAATATATACATCAGTAACAAGAAATAGTAATTCGACACAGTTAATGTTAAGATAGTTTATTTTTTAAAATGATAATCATTCCGGTTCCAAGAACTGGTGCTGATAGCGACGATGCAATATAGATTCCGAGAATAGACGATTCATACAATCGAAATGTACTTCGATGGTATTAGGTTGCCCCAAAGGTTTCTTACGTTTTATAAGGAAATAATAGACGCACAACATTTTTTGTTTTATATTATTTTATCGAATTATGTATGATCCATTTTGTTCTATTGGAACAATCCCATAGTTTTTCAGTTGTAAAAAATAACTTACAATTTACAATGTACATGTTACATAGTAAACTCTCCAAGTTTAAGTTCACAGTTCGACCCAGCAGGCGGGTCGATTTTCAGTTGTTTGAACTTTGACCAGTTCAATTCATTTGAAATAATGTAAATTGAATTAATCCGTTCCAGACATTCAACACGTATTTGATACAAGATATTTAAAATGTCTATTTCTGAAGAACATATTAGTAAATAGCGAAGGAAACAAGTTTAATAATCGAAAATTTTTATTTATGATACATATACATAAAAATATTTCATAATATCGCTTAATTAATAATTTTTCTGCAGTCTGTTAATTGAGAGAGAACTGTACGAGTAGAGGTAAAGCCTGGGTCAGCCAAGCGTCGAAATGACGGATGTTTCTTTGTTTCTCTTTCTTCTTCTCAGCTGGCATTTTGCTCGTCTGACCCGGGCCTAAGTAGAAAGATAAGGCGACCATGTGACGGTTACATGACGGTGACTCTGTCTCTTTGCTAGAACTTTGACTTTTCGTTGGAGTTTAAGAGCTGAATTTTCTTTCACATCTTTGCTCGAACTTGAAGGATCCACTTCATTATCGGTATTTTTACAAAATATTTCTTGAGATATATAGAACATAAGATATATAAAATATA